CACCCACCACACCATAATACGAGTCTGGGTTTGGAGGTTGCCAGGAGAACGGTACATTTCAGACTGCATTGTGCCGACTGTGAAATTTGGTGGAGGAGGAATTATGGTGTGGGGTTGTTTTTCAGGAGCTGGGCTTGGCCCCTTAGTTCCAGTGAAAGGAACTTTGAATGCTTCAGGATACCAAAACATTTTGGACAATTCCATGCTCCCAACCTTGTGGGAACAGTTTGGAGTGGGCCCCTTCCTCTTCCAACATGACTGTGCACCAGTGCACAAAGCAAGGTCCATAAAGACATGGATGACAGAGTCTGGTGTGGATGAACTTGACTGGCCTGCACAGAGTCCTGACCTGAACCTGATAGAACACATTTGGGATGAATTAGAGCGGAGACGGAGAGCCAGGCCTTCTCCACCAACATCAGTGTGTGACCTCACCAATGCGCTTTTGGAAGAATGGTCAAAGATTCCTATAAACACTCTCCTCAACCTTGTGGACAGTCTTCCCAGAAGAGTTGAAGCTGTAATAGCTGCAAAAGGTGGACCGATATCATATTGAACTCTGGGTTAGGAATGGGATGGCACTTCAGTTCATAGTATGAGTCAAGGCAGGTGAGCGAATACTTTTGGTAATATAGTGTACACCTCAAGGACAAAACACTCCTTTGAGGACAACAATGTACACATTGTGGCCAGGGAAGACAGATGGTTTGAGAGAGGGGTAAAATAAGCCATTTTTGACATTTTTGTGTGAAAAAACCATCACTCAATGGAGGAGGTGGACTCAGACACAACCTATCACCCACATACAAAGCACTTTTTAGGAACAAGTTTCACACAACAAAGAGGCAGGTCACCGAAACCGTTCTGATGGGGACCACAACGATCCATCAGACTCTTAACAACTGTTTACACTTTCACAGTTGACCCCAAGGCCCCACCCAACAGGGTGGAGCTGAAGTAGCTTTATTCTTTCACACCTAGAGTATACTGTATATCTGCTGTACTGCCCACCACCACCTAGAACTGAAGAAGCTTCTTGGATTAGTGGTGAAACGTCTTCTTTTAGAAAATTCACGTCCAGTTGCCTAACAGAACCTTTTAAACTTGACCATGACCTGGATGACTGAGAATCTTCATAGACTTGATGTCCAGTGTCTCCTGTTTACATAGATGACACTTACAATCTTTTATGCATATGTTAAACATTTCTCTGCTGCAGTTCTGTGTTTACCAGACAAAAGAGCTTAATTCAATATATTGAACAAAATTGCTAGTAATCACTTTTTAACTATTAAAAAATTGAATTATAACACAACCTTTTCTCTTTTTCCAGAAAACGGAGGTGAATATGCTGCTGTTTATAGCAGACAATTTGGCTTGTTTCCCGTACCAGAGCCAGGAGGAGCCTCTCTTCATCATGCACCACATTGACATCAGCCTGTCAGTTTCTGGTAGCAACCTGTTGCAAACCTTTAGAGAGGTTGGTTTTCATTTCAGATAAAACATTTGCTTGTACATCTTGTTGTCTGCTCTTAAGCAGCTTTCAATACATGTTTTTGTGTCTGTACAGCTTTTGTTAAAAGAGCCGAGGAAAAAGGAGAAGAAGGTAAAGAGGGAGTGGAAGAGCACATCAGACGGGGAGGACGAGGAGGAGAAGTTGAACTGTGACTCCCCCAGAAGCAGTGATGAAGAACACCGCAACAGAGGGGAAGATGGAGAGAATGATGAAAATGTGGTACGGAGACCAAAAAATTCCAAGAAACCTATCGACAGTTCAGAGTCGGAATCTGATCTGGATGATCTGAATGTTGATGATGCGGAAAAAGTGATGAGGCTCCTACCAGAAAATCCTACAGGTCTCTTGGACTTTGCTAATGCTGTGCAGGGCATTCTGTTGTTGCTGGTGCTGAAGCAGCACCTCAAAAACCAGTATGGATTCTCAGACAGGTGAGAGTCTATAAAAATATTGCTTCACTCCTGCAATCCAGTTCATTCTGTAGAAATGTCTACTAACTTAAATATCTGACCTCTTAACAGTAAAATTCAGAAGTACTCGCCAACAGAGTCAGCCAAAGTGTACGATAAAGCAGTGAACAGAAAAAGCAACGTTCTCTTCCACCCAAGACAAACCATCGACTTCATCTGCAACAACATGAGCAACGCCACATTGACAGAGGATATCAAGAAGCGGATAGTCAGACAGTATCTGGATGTATGTCATTAATCGTTTTCTTTTTCTTTTCTTATGCATTAGTCTCTTTTTCTAGTTGACAAAAATGTGTTTGTAATACTTTGCATTACTTTAATTCTTTGAAGATCAGTTAAAGAGGTTGAATGGTTTCATGTTTTATTGCCTTGCTGGGTACACAAGTCTGGTTTAAAAACCTTCTCCTTTATGTTAACAGCAATAACACATTTACCCAAGGAAAGAATTAGTTGGGGTTTTTTTCTGTTTGACCATAGCTTTATAAAGTGATAGATATATTGTTCAGGTTAAAGTAAAGTCCAGGTTCCTGATGTAAAGACACATCTTTTACGCTTGTTTTCTAAGTACAGATATGTGATTGAATGGTCTTAAAAAATAATTCCTGGGGTTTATACAACAACACACATTTTTAATCCAGTATGTGACATTCTTCTCAATAAGCTCTTCCCTGCTCTTATTTATTTACAAGATTCTTACACAATGACACCCAACTACGATTAAGTGTAAATCTTAGCTAAAATGTGCTTGCATTGCTTTTATAGTTTAAGGTTCTGATGGAACATCTTGACCCAGACGAGGAGGATGAGGAAGGCGAAGCGTCTGCCAGCGCAAACATCAGAAACAAAGCCATAAATGCCCTACTGGGAGGATTCGGCCCCATGTCAGGTCCCAGTCCCCGCAATCAAGCAGGACCAGAGACAGACGATGATGACAGCGATGGAGATGATAGAACTCCAGGGGTGAGATATCAACTTTCACTGTCTGTTTACAAAAAAATGTGCCAATAACTAAAATGTCATTCCTTTCCTCTGCAGTCTTCTCGAAAGTCAAGGCGAGCTGGCGACTCCTCGGATCCCGGTCATATGAGTGAAACGGTAGACTCCATGGACATAATTGCTCTTTGTTGCCCTAAATATAAGGACCGGCCACAAATAGCTCGGGTCATCAACAAGACTCCCAATGGTTATAGCATCCACTGGATGGCTGGCTCCTACTCAGGACCATGGGCAGAAGCCAAGAAACGCGATGGCCGCAAATTGGTGCCTTGGGTGGACACTATTAAGGAGTCGGACATCATTTACAAGAAGATTGCCTTGACCAGTAACCACAAACTTAGCAACAAAATAGTACAGACTTTACGCTCACTGTATGCAGCGCGGGAAGGAGGGGCTAGCTAATGGCTCCGGAGTTTCTTTTTTTTTTTTTTTTTTTTTTAAGTCCTGTCCCAATTTCTATTTTATCAGAATCATCCTTTTCCCTTGCTCCTACTCCTCCCTCTCAACCTTCCACATCCAACGACAGCCAAACTTCACTGGATTCCCACTCTCTGCTCCTTCCTCATTTTTTTAAGAAAAGAGAGCAAGAATGTTTGACACTACATACTTTTACACGAGTTATTCTTGCAAGAAGGACACAAAACATAAGACTTATTATATATTAGAGGGACTGCTCATGTTTTGTTTGTGTATAAGTTCAGAGGATATAATCCAGGAGGTATTAAAGGAATAATTCACCCTAATTATCCCTTAAAAGGCTATCAGAAAGGAGACCTGGAGAGAAATGTTTTGTCAACATTGTTGTGGGAGCTCCTTCGCTGTTGTGCAGCAGATTCTAGTCGCTCATTTCTACTCCCACTGTATAATAGTTTAACACAACAAAAAACTAAAATGTTTATATCTCTCAAGACAAAAAAGCTGTAAAAAAAAAAAAAAGAATAAAACCTTAAGTGAATGTTGGAAATTAGTCTTTTTTGATGTTCTTATTAAAGTGTTTTTGGAGTTTATTATTCTAATAGCATCCTGATGATTTTTTTTCCTTTTAGCTTTTAGATATTTGAGATGAAATGATAAAAAAGAGAAAAAAAACAAATTTTTATTTTTGTTCACCTTTATTTGTCTATGCTGTAAAATGGCAGAGTCATTTGAATATAATTTATTCTATTTCGAACCATGCATGCAGTATATGTGGCCTATTGCAGGAGGATATTTTGTAAATGTAGATTTTGTTGTATTAGGTCACCCTAGTAATAAGAGGAAAGGGGATTCATACCCTTCCGGTGGAACAAATACTGCAATAAATTTTCTACTTCTCTTTGTCACTGGTCTTCTCAAAGTGTTAATCTAATCTCTTTATTTGCAAGAACATAGGAGGGATTTAAAAAATAAATACATATAATTGTGATTGGTGGTTGATACCTTTGTATCAACTTTAGAGAAGTTATGATATGATTAAAATATATCAGCTGAATTTGACACAAGTGTATGCTTGGTATTTAATGCCTTGTAAAATACTCAGAGAGACTATTTCCCAATAATTTGTATGTGCCTTTAAAACAGAAGATGTTGCCTTGCTTCCTCTGCTGCGGGGGTAGTTTTATCCTTTGAGACATGCATGTCAAATCTTTTCTGAGACATACGCTGCAAATCATTCAAAACGTTTACCTAAAAAAAATTCGTTCACTTTTGTGATTACTCGATACCGTAAGCATGGAGAACAACAGTATATCAGTGGAGCTCTACTACAAAACCTTTGTCTCCATTTATGCCTGAAATAACAATTAAGTGTGTGTTTTAGGAACCTATTATTTTGGTTATTTTCCTAAAAATAGTATTGTTCTTTTAGCTAACCCTTCCAATTCATTTCTGCTTTGGAATTAATTACAGAATAATTGGTTTCATAAAGGCAATCTAGATCAGATTGGATTATATTTTACAAGGCAACATAAACCTAATGCATTGAACCAGAAGTTTATTGATTCGTTCACAGCAAAAGATTAGTTCACGGCAAAAGATTAGTTCACAGTGAAAGATTAGTTCACAGAGAGTGATTCGTTGCAAAGAAAGATTAGTTCACAGTGAAAGATTAGTTCACAGAGAGTGATTCGTTGCAAAGAAAGATTAGTTCACAGTGAAAGATTAGTTCATAGAGAGTGATTTGTTTGCAATGATAGATTTTTCAAAATTAATATTTTAAAGAGAACACATTACACTGCGTCATATGAAACTTTCAAATAAAAGTTAATAAATAAAAATAAGAATAATAAAAGCCTAATAAATTAAAAATAAATTCTCCGTCAGGCATAATAACAGTATGCATCCGTCTGTATGTCCGCAGTCCGCTGTGTAAGTAGTGTGCTGAAGCCAAGTCAAGTCAAGTGATAGCCTCCTGAATTCGTAAGATTTACAAAATGGCATCAGTTAAAATATTCCACTACTTTATTGAACTGGAAACCCTTTTTGCCACAGGTTATAACCCATAACCCATATAGAGACAGTTTAGAGACTATATTGCGTCGCATCGAGGATCATATCTCCATTATTGCGTTATTCATAGTGCTCATGAGTAATAATGTTTAATGTAACTACTGAAAGAAGATTATGCGTCATTCTTGAAGGAATTCATGAGTCTCTAACAGAGATGTTGGCGGAAATAACATTGCAGCTGCAAGATGACGTACAACCACTTGGCACATATTCTGGATCTCACAGAGGAAGACCAAGGTAAGTAATATTTACACGTGTATGGGGATGGAGGCTGAGAAGAATAATATCTACTCAGTACATGGCACAATTAAGAAGTTACAAACTTATCATTACATAAAAAATATTATAGACTGCAAGCGAATAAGACAATTTATTCACATTATTTAAATTAATAGTATTTTATTATTTTTTTATTTTATTAATAGTATTAATTTTCTCTCTCTCTCTTTGAAGGTACAACATACCAGCTTCTCAGCTGATTCACATGCCTGACTTAGGATTTAGCTGGATGGCCCTATCTTGGATGCTGTCTGTAAACATCCGAACACTGTACAACCACAGAACACAACTTGGTTTGGTGGACTATGGGAGTTTCACTGACATTGCAAATGTCAATTTGTATCAACTTATTGCTGAGATTCTCAGACAAACCACTGGTTCTGGAGAGACCTACGTTACTGGTAGTTTGAGAGGTAGAGGAATCAGAGTTCAACGTTGGTGGGTACGAAAGCGTTTAAGAATAGTAGATTCAGTGGGGCGAGCCTTGAGAGGACGAAGGGCAATTCAGCGAAGGGTCTACTATGTCTCTGCACCAAATGAAGTGTGGTATGAGTTGTTTCATAAATTTGATTAACATGAGTTCAGCTATTTCTCCCTAACTAGTCAATCATGGCATACATATATATTGATACATGTATTAAGGATCTACATTATGTATGTAAAATACACATGAAAATATTACATACTGGAATAAAGTTTAAAATGCTAACATGTGGTTACACATTACATTAATAACAACAACAACAAATTTGTTCTTATTCCAGGCATATTGACACAAATCACAAGCTAAACTAATGGGGATTTGTGTATCACGGAGCAGTTCATGGCTACAGTCGCTGCATTACCTTCCTGCGATGTTACACAAACAACCAAGTATCGACTGCCTTGCATCTTTTCCAGGGTGCTGTTGATGTATTTAGACTGCCATATCATGTCAGGGGTGATGCTGGTAGTGAGAACATTAATGTTGCAAGGTTCATGATTGAGAATCGAGGAACAAACAGACAGAGTTTCATGGTTGGACGTAGTGTGCATAATCAGAGGATCGAAAGACTATGGGCAGAAGTAAACAGGGTTGTGTCATGTTACTATAAAGATCTTTTCCTCTTTATGGAAAATGTTGGACTTTTAGACAGCACTGACCCTCTTCACATTACAGCTCTTCACCATGTTTATCACCCAAGAATAAACAGATCTGTGGATGAGTTTGTGAGCCAGTGGAACAACCACAGCTTGAGGACAATGGAGAGTCGGTCCCCATTGCAACTGTGGACAATTGGAATGCTCTAACTTCGTCAGAGGCCACTTAATCCTGTGCCTGTGCAACCCCCCTTTGTTTACCAGTGGAATGTGGAGTTAAGGACCATCAACCCTTTCACTGATGATGACTTTTTGTCAGAGCATGTGACCTGCTTCAGAGATAGTTTACTAGATAATCTACTTACTAGCTTAAGTAATTCAGGTGTTCCACTACTGTGGTGTCATACTGTATATTGCCACAAATAGACCCAGATATAATTTTAGTTAGTACTATGAATGCACAAAGGAAATGTGCAGGTTCTAGGATGGAAGATTTTCTTATAATATACTTTTCCTTCGTAACAAAATGTTATGTATCATGTGCCATGTATATTATATCCAGTTATGGATGAAGTATTCAGTTGTTTTAGTTAAACTAAAGTATGTGTTTGACTCTCTCAGTTGTGTTGTTTAAAGCTCTTTCATTCCAGGGCCCCTAAACTGACACAACCTGAGATGTAGTGGAGTCGAAGTATAAAGTTTCATTAAATAAAAATACTCTAGGACTAGGACCTAGAATATGTATTTATGAACAATTGGGTAAATGTATTTAGTTACTGTCCAAGATGAACTTATATAAATTAATTTTGTGTATAGTTTGTGAACAGACTCTAGAAGTCCGGGATGCACATATCCCAGAGACTATACTAAAATGAAAACAAAACAGTTCATACAAAGTAGGAACATACTGTAGAAACATTCATTAAGAGGGAATTATCTTCACCAATTAACTGCTGCTTTGGGTCATACCAGAGTATGGAAATAAATGATAAACATAGTTGTCAACTAAAAAGTTCACCAAGTGCACATTATTAATCAAGACGAAACTATTAACCAGGTGCACATTATTAAATCTGAAACACAACATCATGGCTTGAAATATACCATCAAAAGTACAAAGATAGATACAAAGAAAAACAAAGATACTGTTCTTGTCATGTTTTAAACCGGTGATGACCCAAATGCAGGCTCAGACAACGTCAAGTGAAAAACAAGGATTTATTTTCTAATTTAACTTCAACAGGAATCACAAGGAACAATAGTTCAAGTCAATCTGGACGTTAGCTATCACGGTGGCTGAACAAACGATCTGACGACCAGTGGTAGAAAGGCCAGGGTTTTTATGCCATCAGAGTGATGGGTTGATTGAAGGCAGGTGCTGAGGAACGGCAGGTGTGCTTCAGTGATTAGCCAGGCACAGTCAGGGAAATGTGCCACGCCCACTACACAGACAGAGAAAAGTGCACAACACAAGAATGGGGAAAACACAGGGAAACACAGGGAACGACAATCCCGACTATCATTGTGACAGTACCCTCCCCTCAACGGCCACCTCCAGGTGGCCTACCAGGCTTGTTAGGATGCTTTCGATAGAAATCCCGGATTAGAGAGGGATCTAAAATAAGTTGACGAGAGATCCAGCTCCTCTCCTCTGGGCCATATCCCTCCCAGTCAACCAAGTACTGGAAGCCCCGGCCCCTGCGACGCACATCCAGCAGCTGCCGGACTGTAAAGGCAGGATGGTCATCCACGATCCGGGGGGGAGG